AAAACAGCCTTTAATGTCCCCTTCGGACATTACGACTGGAATGTTTTACCGTTTGGTCTAAAAAATGCTCCCTCTGAGTTTCAAAATATTATGAATGATATATTTAATCCTTACACAGCTTTCACCATTGTTTATATTGATGATGTTTTGGTTTATTCTAATTCTTTAGAACAACACTTTAAACATCTGAATATCTTTTTGAGAGTTGTGAAGCACGCAGGATTAGTGGTTTCGGCAAAGAAAATGAAATTATTTTCTTCAAAGATTCATTTTTTGGGACACAATATTAATAAGGGACTGATAGTTCCTATTGATCGAGCAATATCCTTTGCTAAAAAGTTCCCTGATGAGATAAGGGACAAGCAACAGTTACAAAGGTTCTTAGGAAGTCTTAATTATATAAAAGATTTTTATAAAGATTTGGCTCAAGATTCAAAATTGTTATACCAAAGGTTGAAAAAGAACCCAACTCCCTGGTCAGAAGAACTGGTCAATTAAAAGGATGGTGGGATTTCCACCTAAGCGACTCAGCAAGAGCCCAAATCCTGAACGCCCAGGTGGCTATTGGTCAGCAGAATGTACAAGATCCAGTAACTGGATTAATCAAAAGTGAAAACATTTACCAGGAAGATGCGGTAAATTCACTAATTTACACAATTTTTACATGAGATGAGAATGAATCTTTGACCTTTCCTTTTCAAGTTTCTACTTTTGAACAACTCATTATATATAAATGATTATGGTGTGTTTAATCTTCTTTCATTAATTACTACATATTTTCTACACTTACAGTGTTTGCCAGCTCGCTATATAATCAACTTAAATAAGTTAAATCCATCATGCAATGCATTTTCTTCCAATTTTTTGTGATAAACTAATAGATAATAGACTAAATAAACATCCTGCAAAGTTTCAATAAAAATTTCCAAGTTTTTCTTACAATTTCCGTGGTTTTTATTCAATTTTTATCGATACCGATAATATCCCGATATTTCCATCAACATTTCCGTATTTTTGGACTACCGATATTTCCGATATCATCAATATTTTAGACCTTGTGAGAGACTTAAGCACAAATTTTTTTGATGGACTGAGAGTTTAATAAAATACAATGTGCTTGAAATTTGGAGGTAGAAAATCATGTGTTTTTGCTACGGCTTTAAATGAAAATTATGCATGCTCAAAAAAAATTTATGGACTGAGAGTTCCTCTGGTTTCCGATGTAGACGTAAATATTCATGATCATGGTTATGACAGTTCAGCTTAGACACTACCAAATTGAAATATTTCGATATGAATTTCGATCATTTGAAGGCAATTCATGTATGAATGAGCTGCTCAAACTGTTGCCAAAAACTCCATCACAGAATGGTGAATCAATTACTTCGAAAGCAATTCATGTATCAAAAGTAAGACTCAATAAAATAGTGAAAAACAACACTGTTCCACAACCAAACTCAATCTCATTTTCTCATGAGCTACTTCTCGTTTGGTCTAGTAGTTGCATGTTTGTGGGTGAGTGTGCTCCTGGAAACCCACGAAATGCTTGTAAAAATCATAAAATATATGTGATCTTTAACTACATGCAAGTACATGTCAATTTTATCACATCACTGTGTGTTTGAGTCCGAGATTTCTGCTCCGGTCAGCTGCCAACAGCTTTTTACAAGAAGAGGGTGAAACTAATTACCAGATGTACCACGAGCTGTATTACAATTCTCTCCTGAAAGATGGAAAAATGTAACCATGTCAGACAATGACAAACGTGGAAGTTGAATGGTAAGGAATTAAAGAAAAGAGGGTAAGAAAATTACTGGATCTATAAACTGCAGTAATCCACGTTACAGGAGGTTAAAGGGCTAAATCCTATGAAGACCAGCAACAGCTATTTCCTTGAGGCTCGGGCTCTCTTCCAGGGACAACAATTTTTGTACCCTTGAGAAGTGAGGCACTCCCTTCCGACTCTGCTTCGTCATTGGCAATGAGGGACTTCTTGCCAAGGATTCGATAAATTTCCGTTAGGACTGTAATAAATGCAGATTCAACATTAGTAGCCTCGAGTGCTGATGCCTCCATAAAGAATAGGTTCTCCCTTTGGGCAAACTCTTTCGCATCCTCAGAAGGTACAGCTCTCAGTGTTCCAAGGTCAGACTTGTTACCTACAAGCATCACGACAATATTGTTGTCAGCATGCCCCCTCAATTCCTCTAACCACTTGGTTACATGATCAAATGATTGATGCTTGGTTATGTCATAGACCAGCATTGCCCCCACTGAACCTCTATAGTAAGCACTTGTCACTGCCCTGTATCTGAGATCAGCACCAGAAGTGTGAAAAGAATAAAAATTTACAAGCACAAGACTATGGACTTCAAGGCAAGAATAAAGGAGTTCATTATACATGTTAGACTCAGATGTCAGGGTAACTAAATGAAACATAGATCTAACTATCTAATTTATTCCCTCCCCTCCTCCACACACACACCGTACTTAAATTAGAATCCCTTACTAGCAAGGTGCAAATTGCGTATAAAAGTGCAACATGCATAGTGAAAAATATCAGCTCAAGAAAAGATTTTTGAAATCCTTATTTCCCTTTTCTTTCATCAAAGCAGAGGTCATGCCCATCCAGCTTACTCCATTAGCAGGGAGAAGAAAAATCTTAACAAAAGCAACTATGAAAAGGTTTTATTTTAGAAAAGAAAACCAGAGGTGAAACCTGACTAGCATACTCCACCAGCTGGGAAAACACCCTTAAAACAATAATATAACTATGGAATGAATTTATGTTAGAAAAGGGAAACGACTCTACGAGAATTTTCCAACAAGAATACCGTTAACTGCTATATTGCAACAACTTTAAACATCCAATATCACCAAAACTCTATGGGACTAGGATCACCTTAAACACTGATTATAACTTTAAATGTAAATAAGCAACTTAAGTTCCTTGGGCCTTTACATGTAACCAAGCTCACAATATCACTCCTTCCATCCTAGCATCCTCACCACAAGAGGGTCGAATCACACACCCACATATGGTTTAAGCTTTAAACTATTTTGGTTTAAATTGTTAGCTTCCTAGAATACATAGAAATCGGTACCTTTTGCATTATTGCTTTTTTCTTCTTCTTTTTTTTCATTATTGTGTGAAGTTATTAAAATTTAAGGGACCAATAGGGTGAAAATGACTCCTGGCAGTATTGAAGCACTGTTTAAACCCTAGTGTGAGATTCATATATTCTATGGACTTGTCATAGGCTTTCAAACCCAAATTTGGGGGAGTATTTGGGACATCATGATTAGCATAGAACGTTTTTCCACATTGTGGAAAATCTACTTGTTTTTGTGAAGTTTGTGAACCAATGATTTGGAAGTTGGATTTACGCCATATTTGAAAATTGAATATTAGGTGTTGATTGGCATTCTACAGGGGTTATATGTGGCAACATAGGGCTCTGCCAAAGAGACGTATGTGGAGTTTAGGCTCTAAAGTTCGAAATAACGAAAGAAAAAAAAACCGTTAGTAAAACTGTTTTGTGTTTCTAATATCCTGTGCTAATAAGTTGTAAACAAAACTTGCTCCACCCAGAAGTTAAACCATCAGGTCACTTACTGATCATATTAGTTCAATCTTGAGTGATCATAACGTCTAGTTGGCGACTCCTTTATTCAGTGATTCGTCGTTGTTATAACTCACAGAGAATGTCAGTTTATTGAGCATCTATTCTTATGTGTTTGAGGAGATTGTATTGAATTATGGTAATACTTTGCTGGTATATTGAACAAGGTTTACTAGATCTTGAAATGTTCCACAACTTGTTCATTATGTTGGATTCATATCTACATTTCCAGAATTTTTTCAGGTCAGGGGTTGTTTTGGGCTAAAGACTTTACCAAAACAAGGACTGCCCTTCTAATTCAGCAAAGTCGTGGTGACATGATCACATCTCAAACAAGAACACAAAATAAAATTCAAGCAAACCCACATGATAAATTATAAACAACAAAAAACCCACATCAAAAAACTCAAAACACCAAAGCACAGAAACTTTCTTAAATTATATAATTAAATACAAATAAATTAGAAAAGCGCTAACCTTTCTTGACCAGCGGTGTCCCAAATCTGGGCCTTGATGGTTTTGTGGTCGATCACGAGCGTCTTAGTCTGGAACTCAACCCCAATTGTTGCTTTTGACTCCAAACTGAACTCGTTCCGAGCAAAACGAGCCAAGAGCTGAGACTTTCCCACCGCTGAGTCTCCGATCAGCACCACCTTGAACACGTAGTCGATCTTCTGATTGAAATTACTTTGCAAATTCGACATCTTCTTGTATATTTGTCTAAATTTCAAATCTTAATAAACCCACCAAAAAAATTATAATACACAAACAGAAAAAGGAAAGAGGAACAAATGTATTTCTCACGTATGAAACTTTTGAAGGAAAAAAAAAATGAAAATGAAAATGAAGGAATGGAGAACGAGACCAATTGATCAGTATGGGAATATGATCGAATCGGTGTAATTTAGATGTGAAAAGATATTTCGATTGCTTAGAAGAAGATAAGATAGTGAAAACTCGCAGAGTTGAGCTAGCAAAGAGTTTTGGGGTCTCTTTCCTCCTCCCCCTATTTGTGCGTAAATATTAAATTATTTTTACGGAAATGAAAGGAAATTTGCTGTTGGAATGGACATTGGAGAACAACGGCTTTTGTGTCTCTTTTCCCTTCGTCAAAGAATGATTAACAATAATTAATGAAATCATTTAACAATTAAGGAATTATTATTAAGACTCTAAACTATTGAATTTATTAGAACTAGCAATAACCCTACATTCCTAATGTCCCTATCGTTGTTTTTGTTGCATCTTAGAATGAATTTATTCACTTAAAGAAAGGCTTTGTGTATGTATTTCTTTTCAATATTATTATCATAAATAAAAAAAGCCTTCAAGCACATAAATAACCTTCAAGTTCCCTCTATTGGCGTGGGTAAAGTAAATGTTGATTTTTGGCCCAACTAGCTCAGGTAATTTGTGGCCTTTATTCCATAGGCCCTTTTATTTGTTTAGAATGAATTCATTCACTTATGCTCCGTTTGGATGAAGGAATTGCCAATTACATAGAATTATAAAATGACGGAATTTAGATTTCCGTCATTTCAATTTCTAGCAATTGACGATTTCAGTGTTTGGATTTATGCATGTCGGATTTCGTAAATGACAAAAATTGAAAATTTCAATGTTTGGATATCTCATGTAAATTATAAATGACAGAAGTATAAAATAACATATTGTTTGATGAACTAAATAACTCAACTTAAACAAATAGAACATATTAGAAAACCAAATCACTCCCCACGTGCAATAAACATCAGCAACATACTCTTTTTTTTCTCAATTGGGAGTGCCTTCAGCATCTGAAATTGTTTGTCATTTTCTATCAGCCAAGCACATGCTTTGAGTTGTTCATTTTCACTAAGACCTGGTACTGCTTGTACTTCAGCATATACCTCTGCTGGATCAAGGTTCTTAGTATCAGCACAGATAAACTCTTCAAATGATAAAGCCATTCTAGCAATCGAATCAGCAATAACATCTTTGACAACACCTCTTTTCTTTGTAGGAAGAATATCAGAAGAATTTGATGCACGATTTCTTCTCTTTTGACCATTTGTTGAGGTTGGTGAAATATCATCAATAACATGAATATCTTCTAAATCTTGTGTATCACCATCCAAATCAACATGAACAACTTCATCAGTAGGAGTCATAACCTCAGTTGCATCTGCACCTGTTTCAGCGCCCTCTCCAGTGGCTCTATCTTTGCCACACAAATCTACTATATCATCCCAATTTTACATTCCTAATGTCCCTATCGTTGTTTTTGTTGCATCTTAGAATGAATTTATTCACTTAAAGAAAGGCTTTGTGTATGTAACAGAGCACATGATTATTATCATAAATATAAAAAGCCTTCAAGCACATAAATAACCTTCAAGTTCCCTCTATTGGCGTGGGTAAAGTAAATGTTGATTTTTGGCCCAACTAGCTCAGGTAATTTGTGGCCTTTATTCCATAGGCCCTTTTATTTGGCATCAACACATTTATTGAGATTAATTTTGTCATTTTCATAAGTTTTTTAATATATCAAATCATCAATTTTTAGACCAACAATCACCAAAAACGGGTTTTGTAAAAACAATTTTAAACTTCAAGAGTTGTTTGTGTAATTTTTGAAACCTAAAGGGATTTTATGGAAACTTTGAAAACCTTGAGGGTGTTAGTGTAAATACCTCCCTTTGTTTTCTTTTTAGGGTATGTGAGAACCTTTTTTTTTCTTTTATAAATTTTTTTTTTAAAGAAATATTCATTCTACATATTAATTATTTATTAATATGGCTTTTCCTTATTTAATATTTATTATGAAGACCTAAATGTTATAAAATATTAAGCCTAGTATGAGATTATTCTTTTAGGTGAAAGATGACACCATTCTTGTTTTCCACATGTAGAGACTTGGGATTGGTTTTAATCAAATCATCATTGTCATGCCATCTTGCATGCTAGTAACAAGTGGTGTTGTGATATCATCAGCCAAAGGGGGATGAGTCACATTATTCTCTTACTTTTTTATCTTATCCTTTGGTGGTTTAAAATATTATATAACACGTTCCAAATCGGGTCGGAGGAGACTTGGAAGACGCTCTACGCATAGAAGTATACCAATTGATCTCCTCCCCGTTCACCAATGAAATTGAGCAGACAGCTCCTCCAAGGCGATTCACGACACCTACCTTCACACCATTCAAAGGGGATTCCAATCTCGAAAGCCATCTTAAGCACTTTAGGAGTGTCATGATACTTTATAAAGGCGACAATGCATTGATGTGCAAGTTGTTCACTATGACCTTGCGAGAAACGGCCCAAGATTGGTTCCATACTTTAACACCCAAGTCGATCAACAGCTTCAGGGAATTAGCTCTCATTTTCATGAAGGAGTATACTCCCTATCGAGTGATCAAGAAGCAATCTGATCACCTCTTCAACTTGAAGTAGAAGCAGGATGAGTCTCTCCAGGACTACATTAAGAGATTTCTGGCAGAGAAATCCAACATTGTGGGATGTGATGATCGAATCGCATCTTTTGCTTTTAAGAAGGGCTTACCAACTGAGCATAACTTGTACTGAGAGTTGGCCATCACTCTAAGTCAAACTCTAGTTGAAGTCTTCACAACAGCAAAGCATTACAGGCTCTTGGATGATGACTGTATCGCCACAATGACGTCTGGCAAACAAGTTGATCATCCACCAAAAGAGGCAGTACATAAGAATGACGAGTCCTACAATGGGAATAACTAAGGAAAGCGCAAGTTGTTATCTATCAGAGGCGGCTCTTTTGTTGGTAAGAACTACATAGAATTTATAATTCATATCAATCATATTCTAAACCATGTGAAGGATAAGCCATGGTTGAAGTGGCCGCCACCTCTGAAATATGATCTTGCCACAAGGGACACCTCCAAGTACCTCATCTTCCACGGAACGCATGGGCACTAAACTGGTGACTGCAAATCCTAGAAGAGGCTTCTTGAGGAGCTGGTAAAGGAGGGACATTGCATTGAGTTCGTGGCCAAGAAAGCTTTTCAGTAGATCAAGGATTGTGATGTTGCCAAAGAACCTCCTCAAAAGGTCATAAGGATCCACACTGTCCTAGGTGACTCTGAGGAGTCTGGAATGACTTACAAGAAGAAGAAGAGGAAGATTAAGTAGACAACTATAATCTCCCAAGTTCTCATCAGCTACCCAACAATGAAACATGATCCTGTAATCGGCTTCCATAAGAAAAACATGTTCGGGCTTGATTTGCCACACAACGATGTCCTTGTCATCAACAAATGTAGTGTGATACCACATCACTCTACTCAAAGGTATGTGCTTGTTTGAAATGACCAAATGCAATTACTTAACCCATCAAGGATACACATAGCTATAAAACTTATATTGTAGATTTCAAAGAAAAATATTTTAAAATTTAATTTCTAGTATATTATATACACAAATCAATTATTGCTCTTTCTAAAACGAATCGGCCAAAACATGAATTAATTAATAAATAAATAAGTTATAATCATGGGACAAAACTAACAACGGCTTCTTATCCGGTTATAGCATCTATATGACTATTATTATTTGGAAAAGTGTATTGAACATTTCATATAAATACAAGCAAGATAATCATGATGTGTTTGTTTTACGAATTAAATTGAATCCTAGTTGAATATGTTGAACATGTTTTACTCAAAATCCTTAATCATTTTGAGTTTTTTTTTTTTTAAAATAATCTTTTTCTCTTTTTCTCCATGAGGTCGTTGGAAAATATGGACCCTGTGTTTTGGGGCATAATTGTTTTAATGAGGTAGAGTTTCCAGCCAAGGGGTATTTTGAGGAAAACTTGAATGTAAAATGACACGGATAACGGGTTTTATGAGAACTTATATATCGCATATATAAAATGAGAGGTGGACAAGCTATTTATGGGACGAGCTATTAATTCTCCTTTTCCGCATTGGTTTTTTTCTTTCCTGAATTGGCATTGCTTTTCTTTTACAGGATGTAATTGAAACAACAGAGTTGACCGAAAAGTTGAAACTACAGAAGCCTACTGGATCTAAAAGCTAACATGAAATAGATTAAAATTCCCATGCACCCACAGTAAATGCTACCATCCTACTATTATCTCTTCGGTGAAATACAAAGGAGAAAAAACAAAAAGAAATTGGTTTCTTTTACTTTCCATCTTCCTATACTACAAGCTTTACATGAATATATGAGGCAGAAGGATTTGAATCAATTTATTTCTGTTTACTTGAACAACTGCACTTCGCCTTTGTCTCCCCGAGTGTCTGCATGAAAAATTGGAAACACTTTAGAGGAAGTATAGAGTTGGTTGAATTTCATGTGGATTAATTGGAATCAAAGATTATATTTTTCATTAATTGCAACTTTACCTTAACCTGTTTCTGAAGGTCTTTAATGAACTCAACCGCCAAGTCCAACATTTCTGCTGTGTTTATTTGCTGCCAAGAATACAACATGCAAGACTCAATTTCATGCATTCATTCAAGAAAACACTGAATAAAACTGTGATGTTGCAAGAGTCTCCAACTACCTTGTCCATGTTTGGGAAAAGATCCTGCAATTTCTTCATTCTTTCGCTAATCCGTGTCCTTCTCATCTGAAATACAATATTCAAAATCAGGGATATGATTTAATCCGGCTAATAGTATAAGCTAATCACTATGAGATGTAAACAAGCTCAATTAACCAATGCAAAAGATGAGATTTACCCTCTCTGCAATGCTTCGCGGGTGAGTGGCGAAACCTCTTTTGGCACGAATTTTACATGGAATCGAATCTTCAAATTGCAAAAACTTCTCCATAGCAGGCATCTCAAAACGTTTCGGCAAGCTCAAATGATGCGTCAGGCTGTGATTGCGGTTTCCAAAATCATTGTTCTGTTCAAAGAAAAATAACATTACTAATAGGGCAAGCAAGCAGATGGGCAAGCAGAAACGACTTGAGTAGTGAGTTTACAGAAAAGAAAAGTGCAAAGGCTACCTGAGTTTCCAATGCAGTTGAATTAGAAAACTTGTTCCCATCATTGTTTCTGCCTCTTTTGAGGTCATTAAATGAAGAAATGTCCCAAGAATCACTTGGGAAGTTAGAAATGCAATGTGAATTGCTAGCATTTCCCAAACCTTGATCCTGTTGGCTACCATCTCCCATGTTTCCATTCCCCATTTCAGCAATCCGAGGCATACGTCTTGAGTATGAAGATGGCCCAGATGAGAAGTTCAGTTGATTATTCAACCTAGAAGTTGATGATGGACTAGCTTCTCCATTTATACCATTGCCTGCTCTAAAACTTGCAGCATCTTTCATCACATTAAAGCCTGTATGCCAAGCAAACAAATACAATGAGTCGAGGAACCAGAAAAAGTTTCCAAATAGAGAAAATTTATCAAATCATAACCAACCACTTGTTTGTTTATTTAGCTTTTCTTCATCTGAAGCTAAACATACACAACTGCACCCAAACGCTAAATAACCCTCCAAATTGACTCCACCTAAACCTACTGTTTGCTTCTTAAATATGCACTGCAGTATCTTTTGGTGACTAGATGAGCAATTTCATGAAAAGGAAAGGAAAAAAAAAGGGGAAAAAGCAGGGAGGAAAGTATTGAAAAAGGAAGAGAAAAAAAGAGTCCAAGAAACAGCACTCATCTTATAGAGATTAGATAAATTCCACTTTCCAGCTAAGTATAGGAAAATTATAGATATTTAGATCCTTTTTCGATTTTATTTTTTACTCATTGCAGGTTGAGAAAACAATATGCAGTCAAGTTTATGCAACATTTATCCTAATTTTCTGTACTTCTTAAAACTCTTTTACAATTCCGTCAGCATTTTAACAAAGATGAATTCCAGTCAGCCAAGAAATAAGCAAGATTAATACATACCATTGTCAACGGTTAAGTCAGGAAAGAATCCAGCTGGAGAGCTACTTTGTCTCACAAGATTAGAGCGATTTCCGACACCAATTTTTGACTGCATCGAATTCTCCAACCCCGTAGAGTTGATAGCAGCAAAGGAGTTATTATCCAAAGCATGAACTTGTTCAGCTTGGTACATCATATGAGAAGAATTTGAGTAGCCATTCTGTTTAGAAACAGAGTCCCCTGCTTCCTGCTTCACAACCCTCTCTTCAAACTGATGCGGCAGACTATTGGCACCATTGTCATGATGATCTGGTTCATTACATGAAGAAATGAACCTGGCTAACACCGTTTCCACTTCGGGGCTTGAAGGTCGGAGATACCGCGAATCATCACACACAACACCACCATTGTTATCTACCAAATCCGTTAGAAATGAGCTCGGAGCAGACCGATACCGCATTAGGCCAGAGCTCTGCTGCGGCGGCTGCTGCAGCTGCTGATGTAGCTGCTGTGGCTGCTGTGGCTGGAAAATATTTGAATCCATGAACTCTGTGTGATTCTTCCTCAGCTCTGCCTCTGAACACTTAAAATTAGGATTGTATTTGTACAAAAGGCTACTCATAGTTTTTTTTTTTTTCCAGATTCTGAACAGTGCCAATAACTTCTTGTTTCCTTTCTTGTCTGCTAATCTGAATCCTTGCAAATTCAAACACTATGTAACACTTGGGTTGCTTCAAGATTCATCTGACTGAGAACAAGACCCACCCAGATAAGATCTACTTCAGCTTTGATCTAAATTGAACCCAAATCTGCAAACAAAGCAAGAGTTCATCAAAATTAATCCAATCCAAACAAAACCCTTTGGCATGTTCCTCGATCTCACTTGAAAGCCTGCAAATTTACATTACATACCACAACTCAATTCAATTTCCGTATCTGGAAATGAACTCTGAATTCTGCAGGGATTGAAAATATTTTCCAAACGACCAGAAGTGAGAATCTTTATGGATTTTTGTTCCTCTGCAATCAAAGCAGCTTCAAGACAAAAGAATCCCCATTAAGAAACAGCATGAATTGGAACAAAAAAGGAAAGAAGAAAAAACCAGTACTCGTTTGTTTGAGTTCTAATTTTTCTTTTGAGTTCTGTTTTTGTATAAGAAGTTGAATGATTGAGCTTCAACAATTCAAGTACCTACGTTTTCTCTGTGCTTCTGAATCTGAGTCAGCAACCAACAGTCTCCTTCAAAAAAACACAGATAAGAACAATGTTTTGCAATGGCTCATCTCCTTTCTTTCCACACTCACATATACACATGTCATACGATATATGTACTAACGATGTTCCATAACTACCCTCTGTTTCCAATGCTATTACCCTAATGCCATTGAGGCATGATGGCGGCCATGGCACGTCAGTACATGAGTTGACGAAACTACCCTGACCGATTTGTCTTCGGGACTTTCCATTCCAGCGATGGATTTTCACCATTTGCTTGTCGACACAATCTGATGTTTTTGTTTTCTTCTGTGATTTAACGTCACATTTATTTTTTCTTTTAAATTCTGAAAACAACGTTATCTACAGACTTTTGAGAGGATAATGGTATATTGGTATATGGTGCTTTGCTTATAGACCAAGCGACTTTAGAGTCAAAGTCCTTTAACTCCGACACCAAAACCGAAAACTGTGTGCCGCTAATAAAAACATAGCGTACCGGACGCTTCTGTTTTCTGTTCTTTGGTTTCAAGGAAGAGACGCTAATAGAGAAATACTAATCATGAGAACAAGAAGTTGCCTAACTAGTTTCATTCTATTGGTGTACTTTTAGGGGCCAAAAATGGCTGCTCACAAATCATTAAGAAAAAGTGAGCTTTCAATGGGAATCTGGATGTCATAAAATGCTATTGTAAATATCTTCCCAGTTGTGTGGTCCAATGAACCAAAAATTGGGTTCATCGACCAGTCTTAAGTCTTCATTTAATTGGAAAAGGTCTCAAACTCGATTCACAGTAAATTGTACGTTTATGATGAGTTCAATACCAAATTAAAAGTGTCTCATTGTGATGAAGTAGCTCTAATGTGCGGTATATTTTCACTAGTTTAGCTCGGATAGTTATTTAGTGGTTTATGCAAACATTTATTATCTATAATCTTATGAACAAAGAATGTTTGTCAACAGGGGTTTTTAGCCCAGGGGGTCTCAGGTTCGAACTTTAATGGCACTTTGGTAGTACGTGTAAGAAAAACCCTCCTCTTCTTATAATTTAGACTATCGCTTGTATTTAAATAAATAAAAACAACTAACCTCTTTAAAAAATTGGAAAGAGACACTTGCGAACCCAATATATTAATAATTATTTTTCATGCGTGGGTAATATATAAGAACATGACTTTTTTTTTAATTCTGTCACTCACATGAGGATATATCTGAAATATTGAAATCAGAAATTACTACTGAAAAGGCATTCAGAAACATGAAGTTGACCTTTTATTGACACATTCAAGCACGAATGCATGCATATGGAGGAGGAAGCAGCACACACAAATGACCAAGACCAAAATATTCTTCGTCCCAAAAAAAAAGACCAAAATATTCAAACAAATACAGCAGAAAAAAACGATAACTGTTACCTTTCTTTCACGCAGCAACTGGAAGTATTTAATTTATTGGTCAACCCAATAAAGTTTTCACATCCAAAGGTCTTTGTTTAATCTCTAAGGCCAACTGCTTAATTAATGTAAGACGTCCTTAAACTTTGCATAAGTCGATGAAACGTTCGTTTTCTGATGATCAAGTGGCATTGTGGTTGACATTAGTAAATAAGTTTAAGAATGTTGGAAATAAAATTCATAAATTGCAAGTGGAGAACAACCTAGGGAAGTCATCTGTTCGACTTATCCAGATATTAAGCAACTGCATCTTCTTTTATAATTAAGATCAAATTGAATCAAACGTTGGTACTACTGTTGAAGATGTAAAGTATTTTCGAAAATAGATTCCGAGTTCTCTTTTTCAATTTACTCATAAGGGAGTAAATGGTGTTGCACATTGACTTGCTCGATTTGATCTGCATAATGTGAACAGCTTTATTTAGTTTGAGGTGCGCCCGGTCTTATTCAGGATGTCCTATTATGTGATTTGTTGAGTCGAGATCAGGCGTTTGTCCTCCCGTTGTAATTCTTCATTTTATCAATAAAATTTCCCTCATTCCGTCGAGGTTCTTTAAAAAAAATCAAATTGAATCAAAGAAAACTAAATAAGAAAATGTAATGACAATTAATGCGTCTATGGTCAAATTGAGTTTAAAGTGCGACATGAACACAAAGAAGAACAATGACCTCAAATAATAAGAACCACACAACCAAAAACAAAATATTTTATGTGGACATACTTGTTTATTTCTATTATACAAATCATATAAAAATTAGTTTACCACAAGAGATGTGTAAGAAGAATAGGACAAGAAACAAACGGTGTTTGGTCAAAGAAATTTTCCATCCCCGCTGTACAACCCTAATCCCAACAAAGAGAGATAATCCTAACCGTTGGATTAACGAAAAGTATTGACCAGAAGTCGCTGAAAACTTTCTCTAATCCATAGTTAATTAATTTACACATGGCTATTTGTTGGTTGATGTTAATGAAAGCAATGTCTCTCTTACTTTGGAACCACACATTTCACTTAAACAACACATCACGTGTTGCTCGTGAATCCTAGTCAATTATGTAGCCTGACTGTGGAATTCATTGACTTAATATAAAAGTCAACCTTCTTGATTATAGGAAAAAGTCACAATTGTGTTGATTTGGTAAAACCCCTTGAGTCCATGGTCATCCTCTTGTACAATATAAAATTTAATTATTATGTAAAATATGTCACATCATTTGGGATTTATTCAGAATTTTGACGTTCTAGTAAATATAAAAACAACTTATGACGTGAATATGAATTCCTACATAGTCAATATTTCATCTATTCATTTGTTAGAATTGGAGGGAATCAAAACCTGAAAATATCATAATCCTAACTCATTACTTCTCACTCTTTGATGGGAACATGAATTTTCTAGAAAATCTATATTTATTAAACTTCTTTGTTACATCGAAGAAAATCAAGCCCTAAATATATATCCTAATTCTAACTCATTATCTCACACTCCTTCAATATGTCTACTTATGATTTTCCTTTCTTTGAAAGAAGAAAAAAAAAAAAAAAAAAAAACATGATCACCTCTCAGCTGTGATGTCTACCCGAGAATGTTCCCAGAACAGAGGGAATGGTTCTGTTAAACCAAGGCATAAATTGGAGATGCTTTCACTCAAGGATTTGTCATGTTTCAAGGAGCAATGGAGCATCCAATTTCCCACGAGCATCTAAAAGAGTCATTATGCTTTCCCATGGGATAAATAAAGCTCGGTTTTTGTAAATTTTCCTTTTTTATTATACTTTTTAACAAAATGTGAAGGGGTTTTTGACCTAAATGGTCCTCCAACTTTTGCTCGAGTTTCATTTGATTTGTCAACTAAAATTTTCATTTCAATAGTCCTCCAATTCTCCATTTAGTATCAAATTAGTCTTACCATCAAAGTCTGTCAATTTTGCCGTTAAATTGAGGGGTAAAAACATCCCTCAATTTTGGTGAATTGAAATAAAAAATTTAGTTGATGGATCGAAATGAAACTCAAGCAAAAGTTCGAGGACCATTTCGGTTAAAACCCAAAATGTGAAATTACATGAACTATTAATTGGATAATTACCAAAAAATGCCAGAAGTTATACTACATAGAATGGTGTGGTTAGGACTTAGGAGTGCTTTTTGGATGACATAGGGAAAGATGGATATGTTTTCTAAAGTTAAAGAAGGTTTTAGTGCTTATTGATAAAGCATTTATCAAGTGCGTCGTACAAGAAGCATTATTGTGGATAAGGAGAAGAATGCAACTATAAAAAGTAGTATATTAGGGTATAAAAAGTGTGACATTGTAGTAGAGGTTTGTACCTTAAGTGGTAGAACATTTTCCTCTGCATCCGAGGTCCTAGTTTGATTTTCCCCTCCCCAATATCACTTATCATGAAAGTATGAGTTAAATAGCTCCTTTTTAACTTGGAAAATACTTCCTTTCTTATCATGAAAGTAGGAGCTCCTACATTCCTGCTAATATGTGTATAAAAGTTTTTCTTTTTGTGTTTTTGATGAATTGCTTTTGCATACGTCAAACTGTAATTTGTAAAAAGGATAAGTATCTCACAAAGAAGGAAACAATCAAATATCCTTTCAACTTCATAGTCACACGTCAGGGGTCTTGAAAGCTGAATTACAAATATATGTTTAAAATAGCTACACAAACCCAACTCACATCACCACAACCACAAAGAACAAGCATAAAGCATTTGTCCCAAAAAAATATTCTTTACAAGGTCGATGGATATCGAGGAGGAGTTGTCTATTTATCTGTCCAAATTTTTTATTTTTTTTATTTGGTAGGAGGGATTCAGAATTACCTGAAGAAGTCGGTTTCTTCTTTCTAGCATGTTCTGTGAGTTTGAGACAGAATTAATAAGTATAATTAAAGTAACAAAAAGGGTGTCTCGTACGGATATTGTCCTAAACTTTTCCACCAAAGGGCAGTTTTCTAGGGCGTGCACTAACTTAATTATTGAGGATAAAGAAGTGTTCTTCTGGCCACTTACAGAAAGTGAGGACTTAAGATTACACCTTTTTCAATACTAATTTAGAAAACTTTCTCCCACCAACAACAATGGCAAGGCACAGATGATTTGATTCTCACCATTAATTAGCCACCAAATTTGTGGCGTTTTGCTCCCACGGATCTTTTATCCACTTATAAGAAAACGTAAGTGAACAAAAGAGAAGTGAAAAAATCAGCTCCCGTACGAAAAACAAACGCATATAAAAATTCAATATTCTTCTATCTTGGTGATAAGTACTTTTTGCGCCTTTAGCTTGTTGGCGATAAACACATTTCAGGCCGCTAAAATATAGAGGGGGACATGTGATCCTAAATATAGAGGGCGATATATACCTACCCTACCCTACCCTGAATTAAGAGAAGGGTGATTATGAATCTTGATTACTTTATAATTAATAGCTAGCTGTCCCCTGAAAAGAATCGGATAAGTTGGATTGCATGTGCATATAATATTATATGCAAAGCATCTTTGGATGGCATGCATGATGGGGTTTTTGTAGGCAAAGTCCACTATGTACCTATTTGACATGTTATGAAGTACTGGAGGACAGCACGATACAAGATCTACATGTTTTATAATAT